AAAAAAAAAAAAAAAAAAAAAAAAAAAAAAAAAAAAAAAAAAAAACACGCACGTTGCTGCGCTCGGCCATACGTTTTCCCAGCGACAATGCGACGCTGGTGTCGCTTCACGAGGAGACAGAACACGCTTGAAACGTGTAATCTTGAGAACGAGCGAGAAGTTTTGTCATGGAAACCCGGTACGACTCGCCGTATTGAACGCCGTTCTTACGCGTTTCGCAAACATATAGTCGCGAGTCGATTGAAAATCGCGAGAGTACGCTCGCGTAATTTCGCCGCGACTCAATTTTTCCTCCCTCTCTTTGACCAGCGATCGAAGGATTCGATCGATGCGTCATCCCGGCGACGTCATCCCGCTACGGTTCGAGAGACCGTGAGGTAAAAGGAAGACGAGATTATTTGCTTTCTGTTCTCTCTCGTCGTCTTTTTCAGAAACGATCGAATGTAAACACGTTGTTTGGCGTCGATTTATGCTCGAGCCTTCGGCGAGCTCGTTTTAATAGAAGCACCGTCTGTCTGTCGTTCGAAGCGACAACGAGAATCAACGATAACAATTCATATATAAAATGCGAAATGTTTTTCCATCCTCCTCCTCCCTCCCTCCACCCTTTCGTTGTATGCGATAATATTTTTCTTTATTCTATCTTTCTTTTTTCTTTTTTCTTTTTTTTTTTTTTTTTTTTTACTTGATTTTTATCTTAATCTACACTCGATGCACGAAAGAACAATACGCGCGTTCGGACAGAGTATGCTTCGTTTCCCACCGCTCATCGCGGCGGATTAAAAATTAATCTTGATATACCGTTATTGCAATATTTGTCCACCGGAATGTACCGTCTAAGAAGTTACGATGTTTTTGCACCCGTATACGGAAAGAACGTTGTACGAGGAAATATCATGCGAATAATTTCGAGAAAATTCTAGTACGTAGCACGGAGTTCGTTCTCTCCTTCATTTTTTTTTTATTTTTTTTTTATTCCGAATTTTCGCGCAAGAAATTCTCAGGCTGGGTTTTATCTCTTCAGATTCTATTTATAGACCGTAAAACGACTAGCATATTTCTACGAAATTTGCATGGCGGACTTTTATG